TAATTTATTCAAATTCTGTTATTTTGTGCCGCTCTGCGCTCACGCTGTTAAAAAATGGTATCGATGTTAAAAATTTAACGTGGTGAACTTCTAGACGATTTCTGATCTATTACAAAATACCAACGAGTAGCGTGTTGCTGCTTCTCTGTTTTAAACGTTCTCTGCTGCTTCTCTGTTTTAAACGTTCTCTGCAATTGATATTGAATTGCAGCACCGACCTAACTGCAGCCTAATGACTAAAATTTGATGATTTTGGCAATACCGCATGTTTGCGGCGAATATCAGCTGATTATGACAATTGTTGGCGCAGGGTCTTGTGTTGGGTGGTAATACGCTGACTTTTGGTACATCTTTTTGGAGGGGTATTAGGAACTAGTTGTGAAAATGAATGATAGATCGGTAGAAAAGCAAGTGCAAGTTTCAAGCGGCTAAAAAATCGCGTAGATTTTTAATGATGTACTTTTTACCATATACATAAAAGCGAATTTCTTGTAGAATAAAATGCGCAAGACCGTTTGCAAACAAAATAATAAAACAAAAAATAAATACTATATTTTATAAATTACACCTGTTATATGCATAAAACCGCAAAATACGTCGGAAAAAAATTAATTAAAAATTAAAGCGATCTTTTATCCGCTTAAAACTTTCACTTGTTTCACTAAATTTACATATGTACATAACCAATCTATCTGCGTACCCAAAACTTTCTAAAAATTTAGATTAAAAAGTAGAAAATTTAGATGAAAATTTGTTGAATTTTTCTACGTACTGTATAAATTTTTGAAGTTTGACTTATGTGGTTTCGATTAAAGCATGAACCATATTTTTATACAAAAAAAATAACGAATCCATTTTAACCGCGCGCAGCATTTGTTTATTTGCATAAGTGCATACATATAAATGCATCTACATAGGTATGTATATGTATTTACAAACATTTTTATGCGCTTGCCTTTTAGCGTGTTTAAAATTTTTTCAATGAAGAATTTACTAATTGTTGACGAAAATATGGTTTACAAAGTTTGCGCAAATTTATATTAGTTAATTGGAATTTTTATGAAAATAACGTTTTCCCAAAATTTATCCAGAAATTTTGTGTAATAATTAATTAATGTTTTCGATTTAATTCAATGAAAGGGGCATTAAAATAACTATCAAGTCATTTTTGTTGATAGATATAAACGTGCACAAAAATAACATTACACAATTGATAATTTATTCAAATTCTGTTATTTTGTGCCGCTCTGCGCTCACGCTG